TGATATTTACCGTTGTTGAAGTTATAGAAGTGTTACAAATGCAGTAGTTATTTGTAAAATGAATATTCTGTTGCAGCTCATAATTCATTAATTGAAACACAAAACCTAAAGCAATTAAACGTAAGATAATTTCAAGAAATTTCAAATCAAGATTGTACAAAAACGTAACAAAGAACTCTCACCAAAATCGCAGAACTTTGGCCAGCAGACACGTCAACCTTCCTTGCTGAAGTGCAACCTGCGACTGAACTCTTGACTGCAGATGCTGCAGGATATATAAGGTGCAAGCTCAGGATGTGCATTCACAGTGCACAACCCTGAACGATTTCTTTGTTGCGGCGCCTCGCACGAGTTATGCATGCAAGACCATAAACTCATAGAAATTTAATAGGACATATTGTCCAAATTGTTATGCACTTCCTTCACATAGCACTGATACACCCTTACAATTGATACCCCTTTACGTTATACTAATACACCGCTGCATTCATTCAAATATTTTCGGCACGAACACGTCGAATAAAAACCTTGAATAAACACACCAGCACGTTCAGTGCGTCCGCTGCCAACTGATCGTTCGCGGAATCGCGAACGATCCTTGCCCAAACTTTATTGCCCAGCAACGCTGAGTCCTGCCTTTGCTTTGAACTTTACAATAAATAAACTTAATGAGCTTTTTGCAATGCAATGTAACACATCAATAAGTTCACACTTATGGAATTGAGTTCATTTTCAGTGATTATGAGTTTGTGAATGCAATACAACGATAAATCAAGTTGATGGCAGACGCTAGTAACATTGGGCAACTGAGGGCAGGAAAAGGGAACTAACTTGTGTTGGCAAGTACGAATATACATTTCATAAAAATAGTTACTAAAATTATCTGTCCTATACCGACAAGGGAGAAATATGAAACGAGTAGAAAAATAGTACGAACAGCAAGATAATTTTCATTACATTCATGAATTGGGAACAAAAAAATCTCTCACAAGTTACGTCGGATCATTTCTACATAATTGTAACCGAGATTATTATTAGATAGAAAAACGAGTAAAACGACGCAGAAAGTCGAAAAAGTTACGTCATTCAGGAACGTTGAGGATTAGATGATGAAAATCTCCAAAAAATTTTTGTACTGTGATATTATTTGACTCCTGAAGAGATAGGCTAAATCTCTTAACTCCGATGTCATTGACAATGTCTTCTTCAAAAAGTTTGCTTTTCGAAATTTAATAATTTCTAAACATTCTGTTCGGCCTGTACAGTTTGAGGTGCGTGGTCTTACTTTAATTGTTACGATGTATGCACAAATCAACAAAATGATTCGCATTTCAAATAGACAGCTGAAAAACCTAGCAAGTGTTCCTATGAGATTAGTCACTGCTTCACTGTAAAATTTGCTAATAAAGTCAATGCAGCAGTTTTTCCAGGTTTTGTATTGTTTAGTTACTTCGACTATGGATACTCGCTATATATTAATTCAATTATCTTATACATTCATAACACGCTTCAACAGTCAACAGAGTTACACCTCCGTTTTCAATCATCGGCTCTAAAAAGCAATAGTTAAATATTCCACGTTTGAATAGTCCACTGCGAACTTATGTTCGTATTGTTGCCTTTTTTGCATAGGGCAGACACACTTTTGCATAGGGCAGACTCGAAAGAGTACTAATGTACTATGAAATTAAAAAGTACTATAAAATTATAATACCCGAGTTTACCGAAGCATTCGTCACAGCGAACCTTCTCGTCCCGACGCTTCGACCATAACATGATGCAATGGCGGTGGCCGTGGCACAGCAGAAGTCGGCCCCTACATGTTACGTTGGAACGCGTTACAAACGCATTCTAACAATGTTTAATATCAGAAGAGCAGAAAATGTTTGCTCTAATTTTATTTTTAGCTTTATATAACAAATGCGCACAATTACAGCAAATCCATGGAAAAAAGGCCAGAGTGAACAATTTGTAGCCAGATTTTATAGCTATGCGCTGGAGCTAATTTTTCCCTGCCTGATGCGCTGAAAATATGCTAAATTTAGAAGACGTTTAGATCTAGAGTCGCGAAGTGTCAAGTCCCCAGAAGCCAAAAGAAAATGTTTCATAGACCTATTAGAGCAATAGCAGACAGAATTTTTAGGAGAAATTACAAACATTGTGGTTGAATTTTAGGAACAACAAATATCTTGATAGCCAGTTAGCATAAGCGCCGAGGTGAGCGTATGGCAATTTTAGCAATAACTCGATGAATAAGATGAGAATATACGGTACGTTTACACAAGAATATTCAAGGCATTGTTATCTCATAGGCTTACTTGTCCAAAAAATTCCCTTATTTATAAATAGGAAAATATGTCAACGCGTTTACAAGCTACCCAAAATTTTTCTTTTAAGTTCTAATCAATCAAAGTGTCACCTTATGCAATATGCCCAAAAAATTCTAATTGCTGAAAAAGTTTTCTAATAAAAACTCGTCACCAAGTGGAACTTGGCGGCTATGCAACGAGCGTGCAACCTCTAAAGATCCGCGCGACTCTGTCACTACTGCCAGACGCAAGTCCACATCAACAAAGTGAAGCAGACGTGAGCATTTGCCAGCAGCAACCCACGACTCGTTTGCTTCTTTACGTATATATATATATATATATATATATAGCCTTGATCATGACAATCACTGGCACGTAAATGATACACGTTGGTTTGGTTATGCTAGGCAAATTTTGACATGAACCTGATGTATATATGACATTAACACTAAGTGCATTGAATGTATGTTTTTTTGTGAAAGCTTGTCCTAAGTTCTAATTCCATGGAAGTATTCGCAAGGAAATTGTCATATTCAAATAATTATTGTCCTAAAAAAATAATTTATTTAAGATAACGTCCTCATAATCGCATTCATACTCCCAGACACTATACCAAACATAAATAATTCAGCTGACCTCGATTAATTGTGAAGCTCTCATATGCTGCCGTGAAAATGGCACCTGGAATATATTGCTTTGCTATACGATAGTTTTGTACAATGATAATGATCAACAATATCTATGATTCTCAATCATGAATGTGGAGCCACATTTTTCTTCTCATCGTACACCTTACAATCAGCGCACTGCTTCCCTTATATTTGTCTCTTTATTATTCAAATTCATTCCAAATGACATTTCCCTTCCAAAATGTTCAATTATTCTGCACGATGAGTTGTAGAAAGGAGTTTAAATATTGAAGAATGAATGTCACGTTACAGAAACGCACTCCATCCATCACCAGACGTCAATGTTAATAATTAATGTTAATTATTGTTGAGGGAGTAATTAAGGTGTTTATTCTTTAATACATTATTACCATTAATTTGAGAACGCTGGGCGCTAAGATTTGTAGTCATTTCAACATTTTTATTGTTATTTTAAATCCCACATTAAATTGCACTGCATTTCGGTCATTATATCAAATGAAACTCATTGATTCATCATATGGATTTTCACTCAGATTAAACATGAATGCATGAATGTAGTTGAGCATTTATTCTGTTATTGAGCATTTTATCTTAATATGAGGATAAATTATTACTTCATTTTAAAGTTACCCTAGATGAAATAACCAAATAATTATTCGAAGACGTGTTTCAAGTCTTTCATCTAATAGCCCATTTTAGCAGTTGTCAAATCAGTGAATAAAAACAAAACTAGAAATTATCTGCAGGTACTTAGCTAAGTTTCTAGGTGTCACGAACGAAGCAAAGAATCTGCTAAAATTTTCAAACAACGCAGGGCGCTGTGATCAAATAATACTGGTCATCAGACGTTTTAGATGTTATTTCTCACCTATATATCATTGCGTTCAGAATTGCTTGTCTTAGGTATAAATTAATTATAAAATAATTCATAAAAACTACAGAGCTAAGACTCCCAAATTTACAACGAACATTTTCGTCAAACTACGCGTACGAAAGATGCTTAGAATCCAATATCTTAATGTCTCATATCATGTGTTAACGTATAAAAGGACTTGCTAATCTTCAACCACTTTCTTTATTTAAGAAGTTGTGTGCTAAAGTCACTCCTGGACGAACAGATTTCTCATTTTATAATCAAATCCCATTTGAAGGACGAACTTTTGTACGAAATGCTGGCAGTTGTTGAACAAGACGTGAAATTGGCTTCCAATTATCGCATTGAACTCGTTTTTCAGGACTGAGATGAGGTCTTCTACGGTGTCCAGCTCGTTGCTCAAGCCAAGACTCTCTGAGCGTCTAGTCTGCAGCAGTGAGCAACCTTTCACACGGTCTTTTTTCATTGATTTCTTAATAACTGCATCCGCCTGACGGCTCCTTTGTACCAAAATACCCTCGGCATATCTCTCAAAAGACCAATAAGCTCGCCCAATGCGTATGGTTACAAACATATGAAAAGCATCGAAGATAACGCTGAAAACGCTCTTCTCTACTGGTGACTTCTGTCTTTTCTCTAGAGGAACTTTGTACACATCAACAGCAACCAGATCTTTACCGTCCACATCGGCGCAACGCAACATTGTTTCCCACAGCTGATCAGGGGATATTGTGTACAATTGCCCCATTTCTTGCTCCGTTATCGGGTCGAAGAAGATCGTCGAAGAAGAACCTGAGAAAATATCAGAAGAATTGATATTTTGCACTTGCTATTCTTGTTTTGTGATCTCTAACTTTAAAATGAAAGGTGATAACTCAATTATGTTGTACAATTAATCGAGAATGAAATGATGTTAAGATTGTCAATTGCTATCGTTACACGTTTTTTTTGTGAAATATACTCGCGATTCTGAGGCGCGTGCGGCGGAACATATAACAAACAACGGGAATTTTTCTACAAATAGTTCCATGAATTTCTAGCAGAATTTGATAATTTTATATATATTGAACGAGTGATTCCATGAATGAGCTTTATCGCACTATTATATGAATTAAAATTTCAAGGCCTTCGTCTTTGTTCGTTTTCACGCAACACAATTACCGCGTGATGTAAACAGTCATATTCATATTCAATCTTCATAACATGATGAAACAATCATTAGCCTGGAATCATGGTCGCTCATAAGTTGGAAAATTCTCACCCCCAAGAAGCCATAATTTAATTTTAGAACTCAGCTCCACCGAGAGCGCGGCTCGATGAGATGTTCACCAATTTTCCATCAATAATAAAACTGAAGCCACTGATGCCGTCACGAAACTTGTGATTTGATGAGCTTTTTGAGAGCAGCAATGAACTCAAAAAAGACATCTTCTCGATCGGTGGCAGCGCTCGCTTCAGTTTGGCCTGTAATTTAATGAATGAGATCAATGAGCCACCCAAGTAACACGAGAGGGAGATAATAATATACATGTTAATTATAATTAATAAAATATTAATAGGCGTCATTTATGCCTGTAGTGTAATGAATGATATCAATGCCAAATTGAACCTCCGAGGTAACTTGAAAGGAATATAATAATATGCGTATTAATTATTAATAACATAGTATTAATAGGCGTCATTTATACCTGTAATATTTTAAATGAGAACAATAAAAGTGAAGCCTCACAGGTAATTGAAAGGAAGAGGATTATCAATTTGCATTTAAAATTTTTAGTGATTTTAAAAAGAGGAATGAGGCAATATTCTGAGGACATGAGATTTCTTGGGATTCATTGAAATTTAATGCAATATAACAGACGAGATTATGGAGAATAAGATTTAGGAATGATTAAAAGCGAGCCGAATGAATGACGAATGAGTATATTGTATTGAAACATAGTTTAAGAATTATTGTATCAAGTTATGAAGTGAAGCAAGAAAAAATTATAAGAAGACAGGAGTGAAATGCATTTATTTTGGGCTGTTACAATTGTTATCTATAATCTATACAAGACATCATATCTCAACAACGAGTAAATGACTAAGTTCGCCAGATCATATAATTTACAAATTTTCCGCGGGTAACATAGGGATGGTAAAGTTTAGTTATATCAATTATTTTTTTATTATAGTAATAATGTATATCAATGATATTTATATCTATCAATGTAGACAACGATGTCTATATCAATTTTGGTATTAATTTAGAAAGACGTAAAATGCCAATACGGCTCGTAATTTTGATGGGAAAGTTTGGGTGCCTATAAGCTTTATCTTCGCGTTTGATTCTTCGAAATGCCAAAACACAGGAAGATGAACAATGATTTTTTCGGTGATCGATTTTACAAAATTATATCGCGCAATTTACGCCATTTAAAAATTTATAATAATAGACGGTGTAATAATTGACGAAATTCTAATTATTTCCGATTGCATCATTTTTTATGTAATGTAATGGATATTAAGTTTGTAGCGATATTTTCAACTGTTGAGGCTAATTTTACAATTGTCGCGATATTCTATTTAGAGGCGGCGGAACTAACTGCGATATACGTTTTGAGCCAATATCGTGGCAATCATCGTAGTTATTATAGCTGTTATAACCATAGCCTGGCGTATTCCAGCGCTCACGCACGCCCCTAATAACGTTATTTGGTATTTACAGTGTTATTGGAATTGTTGCGATGTTAACGCGACATAAACTGGACTGCACATGCAAGTACTGCCGGAACGGATGTACGTACAGTGTGGTTAATCTGGGAGCGAGAGAAATGAGGTTGCTTTGATTATGAAATCGTGTATTGATGAACGCAACCACCCTGAGTGCATGGGTATACAGTTTTGCCCGCCTCATGGGTTTCACCCCCTCAGGGGGGACTTCTGACGCGTGTCTGTGCTCGTCAGAAGTCCTATGGGATTTCGCGCTCCTAGGGGGATTGTTCCTGAGCGCCCCATCGCTGAGCTCGCGGTGTCTGACTGCAGGTCTCAGTTGTGGGGTTAAGTCATTATATAGGTAGGATTCCTTACATTAAGTTATTATGTAGATAGGATTCCTTACACTTAAGTTATTATGTAGGTAGGATTCCTTACATTGAGTTATTATGTAGGTAGGATTCTTTACATTTCCCTTCTCTGTCTCTCTCGTGCGGGCGGCCGACGTCCCGTACGTGTAAGCGACCTCTTGTTCGAGTGTCTTAGTTTCTGTTGCTTTTCACCTGTCCCTCCTTGTCACCTGTCCCTCCTTGTCACCTGTCCCTCCTTGTCACCTGTCCCTCCTTGTCACCTGTCCCTCCTTGTCACCTGTCCCTCCTTGTCACTTCGTCTCTTTGAGATGCTAACGCTGCTTCTCTCGAGCCAGTTTCAGCGGGCTGGACATCTGAGACCTTCCACCCCTTGTGGGTGATGATCTATTTTTTGATTTGAGAAACTTTTAATAATTGAGACCTTCCACCTCTTTGGTGATGTTCAACATGACTTTCGGTGCGAGATAGCTAAATAGCTGAAGCGCTAGTAAACATGTGGCCACTAAACTAACTAACTAACTCATGGGTTTCACAGTGTTCATGCCTCGCTGGTGTTGGCTTTTGAAGTCCTTCTCTCTTTGGCATAGTGCTGGCACAGTTCGCAGAGCATCGCAGCATTTGGTTAAAATTATGCAATTCTTTAATCTCTCGCTACGTATTTTGTGAGATTGCATTAGTTGGCGTTTTTGGAGTTTGTAGAGTCTAATTTATGTTGGATATTTCGATAGTACAATTATTTATTTGTGAGCTCTAAATTTTCCAGTGCAAAATTTTTTTGTAGATACCAGTAGCTCATCTTTCGATTCGAAATGGATTTTCACGATGGCAAATTTGTAAATCTGATGATAATAAATTTGATGGTCAACTTTCAGGGTGCTTGAACATATGGGTGAAAAAATGTAAAGGTAAATCAGTTTTGTATCCTTACCGACTGACTAATTATTTTATTGAGATATTTTGGAGTCAGATCAAGCTGAAGAGTTTAACTTGTTGCGAACACCGGAATTGCGAACTGAAGTCGGGTAGATCCAATTTAACAATTCAAGATTTAAAATATTTCGTGCGAAGTCAATTCTTTATGAAGCTTGTTTGCCAGCAATCTTTCCCACGTGCTGTTCAGTCAAAATTATTTAAAGTCATTCGAATTTGCTTAAGGAACTTTACTGCGGAGGCAAAGTAGAATTTACAAATTTAATTTTCAAATCCCTAATAAAATGTATTTATTCACTTTTTACAATGTTTCCGATTAGCGATGGCAATACAAGGGAAGAAATTAAATCAAATAGAGCAATCAAGTATAGCTTCATTGAGTGTCGTTGTTCTGCATTTATCAATGTTAAGGAATTTTGTTAAAGTAGAAAGAAGTTTTTTAAACCTTTTTACAAATGGTTCAATGAGCTAAATCTCAAAATGTTTACTCTCATCATTACTCAATTGATTAGAGCATCGTAATTAATATCTTTGCCATCAATTATATAGAGCGAGTTTTATAGAGCTTCTCATTGTCGCTCCTATTTATTTGTTGTTTTTCCGTCATTTTTGCCATCATTGTTTTGGATCTGCTCCTTGTCACCAGTGCCACCGACCCTGATTCTCGCGTCTTCGATGTCGATGTAAAAGCCACCAGCGCCGACGACGATCTTGATGTTCTTGAGTTCAGAGGCGCTCCTGCTGTCTACGGTTGACTCCATCTTACCCATTTTTGACGTGAACATTATGATGATACGGATGATACTTCCTGAGGGAGATTAAGAATAAATTTGGGTTATTGAATGATAGGCGATGTGCGAATGTGGGACGGAGACTTAACTTCCTTATCTGAATTTTGGCGAGATTAGGACAACCGAAATACATGTAATTATGGCACCAGAAATTATCATATTATTGTGGTAAACATCCATTCGCAATTAATATCTCGATATTGAACAAATTTTTCTTTGCCTAAAAAAACACAATTTTGGTTAGAATAAAAATGAAGTTTTTTTATGTATGTAGATCAACTCTCAATATACACAATATCAAAACTTTTGAGGATGCCGATGCTGAATCCATGATGACAAAGTTATCATTTCACATCGGTTAGTATTGCATTCGTAGTTTTTTAGTTCCTTGGCACGCCACTAAATATATACTACGCCGTCTGCTTTATGACTACTGTGCTTCTTACTAAATACTAGTTTGCCGTAGGCGTTCATTCCAAGGAATGTGTGTGCAGTTAAATATGGACAAATGGCCAATGAAATAGTCGTTCTTCGGATATTCTTAGTGCTTAATAACATTAAACCTGGACAAAGCGCCTATAGTAGCTTGATCTTCGTTCATAACTTCAGCCAGAAAGGTAACAAGCATTTCTGGCTTTGGAATCTTGATTATCACTCGACACAATATCAGTTAAGAAAACATTCCTCTTAACTTAACAAATCAAATCAGCCATGTATATATTCATGATTCCCCACCATAAAACCTCCACTTGCAACCATAATCACTCAACTCGTGAAAAGGACAATCAGTTTTCACTTCCAATGAAACATACTTTTGTGATCTCCCAGGGGGTGATGCAGACGCAAGACGACGTACAAATCATGCAGAGACTCTGCGTACACTGAAAACATATCAGCAAATTGATCAGTTATCAAGTTAATATCCATGCACAGAACGTTTAAGATTAGTAATTCTTATCAACGGGTCTCATCAGATATGACATAGTTAGATAATGCATGTAATGCATGTGAGTTATGCTACACTGATGATATTTGAAATACCAATATCAACCAGGTATTTCAACTGCCTAGGAGACCATTTTTGTGTCTGTCCAAGCAGGTGGTGCACTGTTCAATTCCCTTCTTTGTGCAACGACTTCTAGTTCGTTATATTTATCTCTCGAACGAGCTTAGAAATTTGATTGCAATTTCTAATGAAACTCAAGTCTTTATAAACTAGGTATATGTTTAGAAACAACATTCGCAGCAAATCATTAACACTAAATTAATTAATGTCAGCTGTGTTTCCGTTCCTTACATGATGATTGCTATCGTAAATTGCAGCAGTGTTCAAACATTGGTACATAGACTAAATAGATTTCGTGAATGTAAAATATATCAATACGTTTGCTGGAAATGCAAGAATTGAATTCTTTCCTTGCTTCAAATCTCATTCATAATTTGTAGGATTTATCGCATTTATTTCGTCAGGAATAAATTGAAATTAAATTGAAATTACTTCACCCAGTAGCCTCAGCGACAGCCACATGCGACTAACCAGCCACTCGCCTCCCTTGGATTCGGGATTAGCCGATAAGGATTGTGAAAGTGCGCAAGTTTGCGGTCCTCTTGAGTATTTTTTGATTAAA